GGATGAGTCCAATAACTTGACCAGGCCTCACCAGTACTGTCTTGTTCCTAAAGCATACCACGTGCCTGGAAAATTCTTCGGGAACTTAGTAGTACCGTCACAAGCTGCCTTTCATTTCATTCAGCAACTAGAAAATCACTTTCTTCCCATAATAGAGAGTGTGACACATGTTCGACGAGTGTGTGCCGCCTTGTATAGCACACTTTGAGATCTGGGTGGTTTTAGCCTTTGCCCAGAAGAGTACCACAAAGGGTTTTTAAAATTGTTTTGCAGAATACGCTTGTGTTGACATGTTTGATTGCTTAACTGGAATTTGGACGAAGTTCGGTGGCACTCTTCAGTTGCTAGTGAGAACGAGACAGGTTTAACTGTTAATAGTGTATTAACAGAGGCGGTTGCCAAACCAAAAACAAAAAGTGCTTATTAAGTGGGCAGTGCAGTTGCTCTCCAAATATTTGTTTCCCCTTTTTCCGGCGAATGTGTATCACGGCTGCCTAACAAAAATATTTCTCCACTTTCTACAAAATTTCTATAGAAAATAGTGTATAGAGGCTAAAAATATTTGAAAGAAAATGTATCCACTTTTGTATCCACTATCCATAAATCTTCAGACACTTTTTTTTTTGAAGCCATATTTCTTTTCTGAACAATTTCGGGGAATGTTTAGAACGTTGAATCTTGTCAGATTTTGAATAGAGTTTTCATTGTTTGGTAATGGCTCGCCCGCAGTGTGTTTGAGGCTATGCAAATTGGTGTTTTTTTATATGTGCCGGAAATCGCGAATTTGTACTATCCGGTCTGTGCTTCGCACTGTTATTATACTCTTATGACTGGTAATGATAGCGATGTCTTATTTATTTTTGCACTTACTTCCCGTACCCGAGTCGGCGTTGAAGTGAATGTATCATACAGCATGTTGTCCGTGGAAAGGTTTTGTTAACTTGGTTCCGCTAAGAATCTGTTACGAAGTTTACGACATGCCGAAGTCCTTCATATTCATTTTTTTTTTGTGAGTATCGATCTCTTTCGTATAAAACATACAGAGCTTCTGAAGTAAATCATGTATACATGAATATGGTCCAATAAAATGTGTTCGAACCACTTACTGTTGTTGACCCCAAAATGCTCCACTAGCCAGGAGTCAATGCGGCGATTGTGGAACCTCAATGCTTTAAAATAGAAAAAGAACAAGAAATATATATACTTCTGCTTTGTGAAGTAATTTGAAATATTGTATGACACATATTGCACAAACACTATCGTTAAAAATAAAGCAAAAGTGCGTCAGTATTAAAAAAAAAAAAAGAAAAACAGCGGCTTCGAAAGTCAAGGAGCTCCCGAGAGCCGAGCGAAGCGGGGAGGAAAGAGAGAGAAGGGTACCGGAAAACCAGAGCAGAAACGCCCAAACCGAAACCGAAACTAACTTGACCGGAAACGGAATCAGATTATACTTCATACCGCCTGCTAGGAGCGCTAGCTGTCACTTGTCTATCTGGGCCGCTGGGGCCTATGGCAGTGTCCGCTCTTTACCTTGTGTATATTACTCTATGAGCACACCGCCTAAGCCAGTATCATTATTCGGTTTAAGCATAGCTTAGCAAGCAGACGTCGCACAAGAGCGAAACATTTCGCAATGACATAGGAAACACTTTTTCTTATCGGCGCTTGACGTTTGCCGGAGGTTGTGCGGTTATCGTCTACAACCTAGAGTTGTTGGCTGCACGAAGCCTCTTTTAGATATCGTTTGCTAATCTGGAACACAATACTTCCGAGAAACAATCAGGAAATATGTTGAAACGTAAAAATGAACACGGTCGTCAAAGCGACCATGCGTAATTCGACGGTGAAGACGTGACGTGGACGGATTGATTAACGGTTATGGCTATACCCTTCGTATTAGAATGTAGTTAGCGCCACCTGCCTTGTGCATCCTGCTTCAATTTCGGTTTCAGGTAAGTGATGGAAAAAGTGACGTCATCAAAAACAAATAATACTTCAAAAGCCCTAAAATCTCGGGAACCATGTTTTAAAGAGAAACTTGGCAAAGTTCTATACTTTCTTTTTTATTCCTAATTATCTTGTACTATCCCCTTAGTCGCATTTGGGAACCGAATTTTGTCTGCACTTCAGCAACGAAACTAATTTTATCTGATGTCGATGAGTAATTATAAAGACAGACTACTGCAGTTCACAGTATGTCTGAAGTTTTGCGTGCTTTTAAAATATTTTTAAATGCATAGCATTTAAGAGGCCCCCACAGGTTCGGTGTGCATGGCATGTGCAGTGCTAATCACACTTGTGTATAACGCGCGAGCGTGCGGCTTTCTCCGGGGAGCGCTAGACTGGTGGCATTCGCGGAAACTAAGCTAGTCACGTGGCGCAACATGGAACGGCCCGCTCGAGGGACGTCGTCCTGCCCACTCTATCAGCTGGCGGCGAACGCGGAAGGCTGCTCGCATATTTTTTACAAACATCATTGCTCGAACAATAAACAAACTAGAGTATCAAGGCGTATCAACAATGTCGTCATCAAAAAACAAATGTATATCATGAGGCGCTTTACTTTTATCGCTTATCAAGCTAATAGAGTGGGCAGGACACCCCTCGATCGGGCCGTTCCATGATGCGCCACGTGACTAGTTTAGTTTCCGCGAATGCCACCACTCCAGCGCTCCCTGGAGAAAGCCGCCCACTCGCGCGTTACAGACTAGTGTGATTAGCACTGTACAATCGACAACATCCCTGAATCCCTGCAATGTATTAAATTTATAGGTTGTCTCTGACGTCGGCAAACACAATAACGTCACGTGAAACTTGACGTAAAGTGAATTATGATGTAATACGACGAAATTGCGTCACGTGACACCATTATGTCAGCTGACGCTGTGACGTCACGTGACACCATGTCATCTCATGACACAGTGACATCTCGTGACACCATGACGTCATGTAACATCAACGCCAGGAGACATTACGACCTTACTTCGCGACGTCACGCCAGGTGGCATTCGGACATGACGTGACACTGCGATGACATTGTGTCACATTGACCTCTCGTGACAGGCTGTCGCACGGGCAAGGTGACGTCACGTGAGTCTGTGATATAAGTGTTACGTGACCTGGCCTGACGTCACATCCCGTGGCTACGGAGCGTTAGGTGACATCGTGATTTACGTTGAGATTTCATGTCTCTTGGCAGTGTGGCGTCAGGTGGCACCATCATGTGACATTTTTACACCACATGATGCTCTCGGCTTTTCATAATCCCAAGTTCCTGGCAATGTGTCCTTTAGTAGCCTCATTAGTGGGCCCGCAAAAGGAGGAGCGCAAACCGGCCCTACAAATGCCATGCGTGTAAATTGCCTTTGAGAAATGCCCCAGAGATCAGATTTTGTATTGCTAATATTTTCTCTGTTACGAATTGTGGCAAATACCAAACGGTATCTGACAAAAGCAGTGCACAAATACCCGTATCACTTTCCAATATCATAGCCATGGTTGACCTAGCCGGATCTGTCAAGCCCTTCTGATGTGTCGGCAGGTGACCTGGCGGGCTAGCTAAACCTAAAGTCCCTGGATGTTTTTTCACTGCGTTTTAAAAGTACCGTTATTCTTTGCCGCGCCGACATCTGTTTCTATTGGAGGAGAGAGATGTCACGTGATTTCCGGAATCGTCGCCACTTCCGTCCGCCATTTGCTTCCAAGCTGCTCGGCTGCTCCGTCCGCTCGCGTGTTTCGTGATACTTGCCGACGACTTTAGCTCGACGTCCTGGTGTTTCTGGACCGTAATGAGGCAAGTGAAGTAGTAAGCGTTTGTGTTAGATGACGGGGTGTTGCGCTTTTGGGTGCAGCCAGAGTTCTGGTAGTGGAAAAAAGTTGTTCGCCGTTCCGCTTCGGAAAGCCGATCTGAAGAGGCAGAAGGCATGGCTCCACATGATTGGGAGGAAAAACTTCGTCCCTACCAGAAGCAGCAAGCTTTGTGAGGTGAGCATTTCTGGGCTAGTTACCTCTTCCACACACGTTCACATAGGTACACATGCAATGTTTCTCCTGACGCGCCTGACTGCCGAACTCGGTCTCAGCTGAAATGCGGCCTTGGTGCTCTGCCGTTTTAGCCCGTTGTTTTTCCCTCGAAAACCCGGTTGTTCGCCGGCAACGTTTTTCGCGTAGTCTGAGTTTTTAAGGGACACGATATGAATAGATGAAGCCGCCGATTGGCCGCTTCAGCTGTGAGTGTCTCGCAATGAACCTCTAGGAAACACGAAAAGCTACTACCGAGGACAACATGAGCCGAAAACGCCTTTCATGTTTCTTTGGCTTACCACCTGTTTTTGAGAGAGCTGTGGTCCGAACTAGGAATAGAAAGCGAAGTTGAGGAATAATGGAGCTTGTGGGAGTCGCAGAAAAAGGTTGGATCGGGTGTTCCAGCTCGTACTGTCCGCGCGCGTGGAGGGCGTACAATGCGCGGCACTGTTAGCGCAAACAGAGCATCGGTGTCTCTACGTATTTTGCTTCCATGGAGTGTTGCTTTGCGCCAAATTTTACCGCTTAGGTTAGCGTCCTAAATTAGCCCTTCCCACCGCGCTAGCAGTTTTGATGACGAATTTTTTATTCCGATAGAGAGAAAAGCGGCGATCACTCTTCTGTACTAACAGTGTGACGCTCTCTACCTCCAAACAAAGTCGAATTTTTTAGTGTTCTCAGTGCACTGTCCCGTGAATTGCAAGTTAGCCCTGTTCATTCTCGGCAGGACCATTTTTCACCGGATCAGTTTGAACCTCGGATCTGGCAGAGCCATGGCATCAAAAAACTTAAACCAGACGCTGTCACAGCAACTTTAGCCATAGGCTGCCAAAGCCAGTTCGATGACCACCGCGAGAAAGGGAAATGGGAAACATCCAAGGTAAGTTGACACAGTCAGAGATGGTGAATTTGCAGTCACTTGGTTGCTAGATTTGGTATTAAAATGCTACCTATTTTAAGCAGGGGAGCCAATGTAGGAGGATGACAGCATCCAGACGCTTCCATCTCTGCATTCAACTGCTGCTCTCACAGGTGTCGTATTTCCTCCTTCACAGATTATTGAGAATATGCTTGTCCAAGGTGATGAATTAATGCAAGTAGCATTGAACTGCATACTGACAAAGTTTACAATTTCAGCACAAGCCTTGCCCTCGCACACAGAGGCACAATCCAGCAAAGTGCAAAACTGCGACCAGGAGTCTGTGCCTCAGGCGGGCCCCCCAGTTGGTGAGTCACACGCAATTCCAGCATTTAGTAGCCGGGCATATGCAGCGACATGCAGTCACAACCATCCTTAACTCGAGCGTGTGCCAGGCATACTCTGGGCTAATTTTTCTGTTCCTTCTTTTTCGGCTTGTACATGCCCATCTCAAACGTGGTATGTGCTTTCTTGGGCATTCCTGCAACAATTGACTATTCTGCCATGCGTATATGTACAGTATGTACCGAGGACATCATAAACAAGTATTGGAATTTATGTCAGCATTCTCTTCTGTGCTTTGGATAGGTGTTGATTTGCACCATACATGCGTCCCCGCCAGGGGCGGATGCAGGAATTTCCTGAGGGGGGTTGGGGTCAGCATACCATACGTTTAGGAACCCCCTTCCCCTCGTTTCACGTCCTAAATTTTACACATGCAAAAATCAAGAGGGGGGTCAGGACATCCGGACCCCCCCTCTAAATCCACCCCTGGTCCCTGCTGTAACGAACAGCGCGAGTGGAATTTAACTGTCTGGTGATGAAATTCGCGGCTTCAGCACGAGCCTTGCCCATACTCACAGCCGCCCACTCCAGTGAGATGCAAAGCTGCGACAGGGAGTTTGTGCCCAATGCGGATGCTGCAGTTGGTGAGTAACATGATGGCCAGACACAAATGCTGCAGTTGGTGAGTAACATGATGGCCAGACACAAATGCTGCATGACATTGTTACTGCGAGTACAACTGCGGCACTCTTTGCATTTTATTTTGAATTAGGAAATGCTGGCACCAAATAATAGGGTGCAACTTTGTGCCCAATATGAACATTTTTCATCCCTTGTTTGCATTAACAGTGTCGCACTATGTTAGGTCAGAACAATCCTTAACACCAGTGGGGTGAGGCGTACGGAATTCATGCCATAAACCGATCTCACCAGCCAGTTTGACTACGCGCCACCGCTGTCGTAATGCATTGAGGGAACTTCAGTCTTTCTGCACATGCCCGAAACACTTGAACTCTGCGCGTGAGACAGCACAAGCCGTTTCGGGCACCACCGTCTACCTATTGTGAATTAAAGTTATGGCGGCTTCATGCATGCACTGAACGCTTGGTGAGGTGGGTCTATTGGTGGCAGGACGACAACAATTTCTTTCTTTTTGTCTCTATTGGTCCCTCTCAAAACAAATGCATTTCTGTGACCATTGACTACTCTGCCATACAAATGTCTGCTGCATGCATCATTTTGTGGGGTTTCATTTTGTGCCTACAAAATTTACAGGTTCACTGCAAGTCTCGGTACAAAAATCGAAAATGGCAGGCTCCATCCTAATAAGAACTGTTGGTCAGCGCTGTGTGCTTAAACAAAGTAAGTCAATGCCAAAGGGTGCAATATTGCTTTTGCATGAAATTACACACAGAACATATAAGAGCTTTATGCCCATTCTCGATTAATGCTGCAGGGAGCAGCTCCCTCCACAATTATGAGCATTCCTTATAAAAGTACAAATGACAGCCGTGTGTAGAAGTGAACGACAGGACTGACGCTGGCTGTTCTCTTTGCTCGATACTCAGGAGCGGTTCCCTCATTCCTGGCAGCAGGCTCCTCCGTCCAGCCATGTACACCGCAGGGGACGACTGCCTCCAAGGGTGAGACGTTTCCCTGATTGAATGACAGCCATGTGTAGAAGTGAACGACAGGACTGATGCTGGCTGTGCTCTTTGCTCGCTACTCAGGTGCGGTTCCCTCATCCCTGGCAGCAGGCTCCTCCGTCCAGCCATGTACACCGCAGGGGACGACTGCCTCCAAGGGTGAGACGTTTCCCTGATTGAATGACAGCCATGTGTAGAAGTGAACGACAGGACTGATGCTGGCTGTGCTCTTTGCTCGCTACTCAGGTGCGGTTCCCTCATTCCTGGCAGCAGGCTTCTTCTTCCAGCCAGGCACACCGCAGGGGACGAGTGCCTCGAAGGGTAAGGCATTTCCCTGAACGAATGACAGTCGTGTGTAGATGTGAACGGTAGGACTGATGCTGGCTGTGCTCTTTGCTTGCTACTCAGGTGCGGTTCCCTCATTCCTGGCAGCAGGCTCCTCCGTCCAGTCATGTACACCTCCCCTGGGTCCAATAGGTCAATCAATTCCTGGTGCTCCCCTTCTTCGTCATCGGTTGCCCAGATTCCTTGCCAGAAAGTAATCACCTGATCAACATCAATGTTCTCGTCCTGTAGGCTGTTGCTAATTTTTGCACTGGGTATGCTTGTTTTTCATCGTTGTCGACGTTACATTCTGGTTATGCTTCCGATTATACTTGATTGTTATTTTTGGCCACCAACCATTGGGCATCCGTCCATGTGTTCCTTTACTTCGCTCGACCACCAGGGCCAACCATCTTTCTGGTGTTGTCTCCCTGTCGGCTCGCCTCACAATCGCTGCAAAAGCCACTTCTCTGTCACTAAAAATTCTCATCATCATCGCCATTCAGGTCGGTTGGTGGTCATCGCCGGTTGGATTGGCACTTTTGTTATCATCGGCAATGGCTGCTGGGGTTCGCGCTGAATGCGTCAGTGGCCGTTGCACTCACGAGACGTTGATTTCAGAGGAGTTTTCAGTTTCAACGCTCGGAGAATTTTTATTTAGCGTTTCCATCTCTGTTTGGCAGTGACACAGTCGTTGGTTTTCCGATAAAAACCAGAAATCCAGTATCTCGGCACTCAAAAAATTGGAAACACAACCACCATGGACATCTTTATCTTTTTGAAGTGCTAATAGGAGAAAGGGAGGACACACTTATGTGAAGAGAAAGACGAGGACTTGATCGCATGCAAGAAAAGCATTCATGGCGTCTTCTCTATTGTAAGAGTGCTGGTAGAGTGGGCTGGAGGGGTATGGTGTGCTCATTTTTTGCTTTGGCATAGTAGGCTGGAAGTGATGCTGTGGGTGCTCTTCTTCACACTTCCATCCTGGATCACTAAAATGGAGCGAAGTAGGCAATGAGCACACCTCCCCCTCTAGCTCACCCTAGTAGATGTTTCTTTTTGTGTTATCTTTTATTTTAAGCATATTCTTCTAATCTCCTGTGGGATGACTTGTTCGACTGCAACATTGATTGCTTCCTAAAAAAATCTTGAATAAAAAAAAAAAAAAAATCTGCGTCGTCTTTTCCAAGACACTTTCTTCATATCTTCACTACCATGAATACAAAAACTGCATACATATCATAACATCTGGCAGTTCAATTAAATTGCAACAAAGTTGGGCTCTTCCCATATTTACTATTTATGTGCTTTGCATTTGCGTGAACCCAATTACATTAATTATATTTTACTGCACTGCTCATGAGTTTCAACACTTGTCTTTTGAGATATACAGTATATATAATCGCACGGCAAGAGCTGAAATAAACAAAAATGTCTGCACAATGCATGTGCATCTTGTTGTGTTGTCCTTCCTTCCCCCCAGTCTCGGGGGGGGGGGGTTGTCTAAAAAAATATATACGTGGATGTTACAGTGGAAGCTAGGCAGAAAAGTAGACAGAGACATTAAACACGTTCGTAACGAATTCCTTGAACGCGATCTAATAAAATTGGTCTTGGATTCACCGTTTAATGTGGCAAAATAATAAAAGTTGTATGCAACATTTCTTCACTGCACACTGAAGGTATGCTATCCAGCAATCAAAAACAGCGAAAGTTGCCAGCTAGAATACTTCACAGAGTTATTTGAGACCAAACACGGCTCCGTGGTAGAGGTTCGAGGACGAGATTGCCCGTTATCGTATGTGGGGATAACACGTGCGATGGTGTAACTTCACCCGAAATATTGTTTGGATCTCGCACCGACCTCGCACCGTCCAAACTCGCCAAGGTCACTACTTAGCACGACGTTTGCTTTCCATTCAAACACTGCTACTAGTACTTATAACAAAATGCGTGTTGAAGTCATGTAGATACACTCCAAAATAATGAGTTCCAGACGCGTTTGCGTCCACACCGTGCACACGTTTCCGTAGCATTACTAACGCTCGCCACGAGGGAGAATGGTTGCAAACAAAATAGAGTTCTCACAATAGCTTAACCATGCGGCTCTATTGACGACGGAATGAAATTTTCACAAGGTATTGGTCTTTATTACAAATATAAATAGTTTATTGTAACGCAGGCGCGCACATATCTAGCATCGCCGAGAGCATTGCTCGCGAAAGCTCTCGCTGCTGTATGATAGGGATTGCGGCAAAATATTGATATATATATGTGCTTTTGCGGAAGTAACAGCTTACCTCCGATTCACGTAAGTAACCCGATGATGTCCAAATTAATTTCACGCGCTGGACATTACCAAAACAAGGAAGAGTATGCTACTGCTAACCACATAAGAACACAGCGGAACCGCCCTCCCGTCTGACGTTAGGAAGCGAATGGCGGCGCTAGAGAGGGAGAGGGGAAAATTTTGGGGGGAAAGAGGAATAGTAGATGGAATGGAGGAAAGTTGTCGCTACCTGTAAAAACGAAAAAATATCCAGGGACGTTAGCTACACCAGGCGGGAGTGTTTGCTGAACTGTCTGGTGTGTCTAACACGCAGTTTGGTGGGCACAGCAAGCAGTCTAGTGTGCCCACCTGACTACCAAGTAAGCACCCTACGCTGGCCTGGTGTGTCCACCAGGATTTTCGGTGTGGTCATCAGATCTTCCTCTGGGCACACCGGACTGATGTACTGGTTATTGCAGCCCGTTGGTGGACACACCAAGATTTTCTGGGGCTCTAATTCAGTTTCCCACTAATTTTAGCTTTTGAAATTGACATCACATAAATTAAGCCAATTTAGTTTCCTCGTCAAATTTAGTGGCGAAACCCCCTCCCCATTCCTCTCCTCTCCTCCCCTGCCTTCTCTTCCCACGCCTCCAGCTCTTAGGGTTCCCCCTCTGCTATATTTCCCCTTGTTCCCCCTCCCTCCGCCTTCTTCTTCACCTAACTGCAACTCCCTACCTCTCCCTCGATCCCCCTCCATCTTTCTCCCCCCCCCCCCATGGTTATATTACACACCAAAACAGTTTCCCTGCTAAATTTATTGGGGAAATATATGTAGTGGGCCACAGAGATTCTCTCTCATCTCCCCTCCTTCCCTCTCCAACTTCCCCAACCTTTCTTCGCAACCACCTACAATGCCCGTTCTCTCTCCCCATCTGCCCCCCTCCCCCTCCCTCTCCCAGTCCTTTCTTCTAATGCGTGAGCATTAGTGCCCTGGTATATGTGCTAACTTTGGACTGGTTTGGACAACCAAGTGGCGCCACAGACCCACTGGCTGACGGAAACTGGCTGGGAAACACATTTTGCAAACGAAGACAGATGGCGGGCGGCGGGCGCGTGCGCCATAGTTCCTGTTTAAAGAGCCTATACAGGAACTTTAGGGTTCGCAAAAGCCCTGTATTGGGTGATTTTGGCCATTCAGTGGTTTGAATACGCGAGCATTTTGTGGCCAACCTCAGGCCGCAAAACAGGCCGTAGCGGTGATCGTGAGCTCTAAAAATGCCACTCGACTAATTTAAGTCGTTATACCGTCGCTAGAGTAAAAAGGTATAACTCTTGGTGATAAAAAACCTTTCGTATGTGAGGTTTTCGTCACGTCCATATTCGACGGTAGAATAAACCAACGTGCGCTTCAAACCAGAGCAAACTGCGTAGTTGCTATCATTGTTGATGATTTGCCGTTGACGCCATTGTCACCGAGACGCCGAGATTAAACGCTTTTATTTTACGCTTTAAATGTCGTTTCCAACATTGTGACGTCACGGTCTGCTGATTGGTAGACTCTGTGTCGCACTTGTAGTTTACGCTCTAACCGCAAGGGAAATATTCGGCGCTTGCGGCGACCTTTGCCTTGCCCATTGGTCACACTCTCCCAATATGCGGCTCTTGGGTGCGCTAAAGGCACTCGATGTGTCTGCGTTTGTCGTGCCAGCAACGATAAATACGCCAGTGCACGAGGCCCGTGTCTCGAGCGGCCCTTGGAAGGAAATGGCGGCGCAGTACTGAAATAAGCTGCCCTTGGAAGTCATTGGCAGAGGAACACCTGCTCGTGGCGCGTTTGGTGCGTTTCCACAACACTGGCTGGCGGTACTTGTGAGCGTGAATTTTATGAAGGGTCTTTAGGGCGCGCGCTTTGGACGCCCTTGGAGGTTCCTGCCGCCGGCTTTGGAGACGTGTGGACACACACGGGGCTGGAAATCCGTCCTTCGACCTGCCACGCCGTTCTTGACGCGCAGTCCTCTCACCATGTCACCGGGCCGTAAGCGCACGGTGTAGACGCCCCAGTACGCACAACATGTGCGGCAACGTAAAGCCCGAGGGGACCGACGACGCCGTTTGCACGGAACCACCGACTCTCCGCCGCAGGATTAAACGCACGTTCGCGTTGAATAAATACGTACAAAATAATGGCTCGGTCGTTTGAAGCGCATCGCGCGCATGTACTTTATGCACACGCTAAGTGAAAAAACCTTTTTGCGCCACGGTGAAGAGGTTTCGGGAGTGCTTCCCCGCAGAAAACGTCTGAGAGGCTGCATTCAGCATTCTTTCTTATATATAACCGCGGGGCGAAATGCTGACGCATTTCTTCGAAAATCAGTGTAGCGGCATTAGCGATTTCGACCCATTTTTTCCCCTCGCCCT